TGTTCAACACCTACCTAAATATGCACTCTCTCCCAAGTAATACATACTAAATAGGCACAGTTGATTGAGAGCTCTTCAACCAACCACAATAATAACGTAGTTGAACAAATAGAGAAAATACTTCAGCAAATCTATATTAACGTAACAGGAAAATCATCCTCCAATAGGTTCCATTAAAATCCTAGATAACAAATTAGCTATTCATATAACTACAATACTAGAATTCATAACCAATAATGGGAATATGAACAAGGAAGTAAAAATTCGTAGAAGAATTCTCCGCCTTGCTCCTAGTGTGTTCTTGCCTCCTTAGGTCGAATCTCCTGCCTCCACGGCGGTTCCGTGCTCTCCCTAGGTCTAAAGTGTGTCAAAAGTATGTCCGCCTCTCAAAATAGCATTTTTACATGTATTTATACCAAATAAGGTGGGGCCCAGTCGAAACACCTTTTCCTGCGCGAAATAGGACTCTGGCTCTGTAAAATTTGTGCAGGCGCGCCGCATGGGGCGACGCGCCACGCGGTGTACTTGTGGGGAAGTTCATGGAGTTGATTCAGACAGGCTGTAGGAAATTTCCACAGGTGCGGCGCGCCCTGCACCGCATCATACGCCGCGGTAATGGAATTCGCAAAAATGCAAAATAAGAAAGTTGTAGCCCTTTCAAATAGCTTTCCAACGATAAATTGTGGAACCCAAACGAAATTTTGAATGAAAATTTATGTATATTTTACTAGACAATGTGCCGTATGCCCGCTCGATCCTTCGTTTCGTTCTTAACTATCATCCGTTGATCCCCGAACACGATCCCGGCTTGATTCCTTGGGCTTTTACTCAGAATTCAAAGCTCCAAATCACTTGAATTCATTCTATAAAATCTACATAGATCGGAAACACTCCTGCAAGGCATAAAATACACAATTAGTGCAAAACACTAGCGATTAAAGCTCAAACCCAGCTAAAGCGCAGTACATAAGAGTGTAATAAGCGACTAAAATACGTAATTATAGCATATCATCAGTTACCCCCCTCAACTTGGACTTTTGAGAGCCCTTACCCCCTGGACGCTGATATGGGAAAGAATGTGGGTGCACTCGCCTGCCACGTGGATTTTTTTGTATATGTGGTATTTTTTTTTAAAATAAAATATATTTTGCCTTTTTTAAGTATGCTACTTTTTTGGATAATTTTTTTCGAATAAAATTTATAATAAAACTTGGATGGAACTACATTATTTAGGCTGAAAAAATTTAATTGGCTAAAAATAATAAAGTTTTAGTTAATATTTTTTTGAATTTGACCTGAATAAAGATTTATACAATTGAAATAAATAGTCAAGGCATTTAAAAAATTATAAAAAATACATAGTTCGAAATTAATTATTTTGGTTGTAATTTTTATATATGTCTAAATTATGGTGCTCTAAAAATATATATATATATATATATATATATATATTTTTTTTTACATATTTTAGCTGAAAAAGTAAAATACACATAGAGCTATCAAAACGGGCTAGCCCAGCCCAAGCCTCGTGGGCTTTTAAATTTGGTGGGCTAGGACGGGCCGGCCCGCCACATGAACGGGCCTTAAAATGGCCAGCCCAACCCAGCCCTAAGCGGGCCGCGGGCTAGGGCGGGCCGGCCCTTCAATTTTTTTTTAGAAAAAAAAATTCTTTAATTCCTTAAATATTTTTTCCGTGACATAGTCGGTTAATCATATAAATAACTTCTGTTTGCTTAGAGCGTACAAAACACTTGATATTTGACAAGGAATCTCGTAATTGAAATGCAAATTCTCTATATCTCTAACTCTTCTTTTTTAAAGTTACATGAATATTTTGTTAGGCCTCATTTGTTTGCACTTAATGGAGGTCTGAATCTTAATCATTCAGATCTCAGACATTAAGTGCGTTTGTTTTTAAAGTCTGAAGCTTAATTATCCAGATCTTTTCATTAAGTGTGTTTGTTTTTTTTACTTCACAACCACTTAATGGGTCTGAATAGGTCTGTATGATTAAGATCTATAATAGAGACTTAATTTCATTAAGATGCTATCACATATTCATTATTAACTGCCGCCACCGCCTACCATTATCAACTACCACCATGCTACCACCACCATACTCAACCACCATCACCACCACCACCACGTCACCATCATCCTCAATCATAGCCGCCACCATTATCGACCATCACCACCCACTATCCCCACCACTCCGACTACCATATATCATTCTCACCCACAATCAACAACCACAGTCGGCACTGCACATCATTATAACCTACCACCACCTACCCACCACCTTCCTCAGTTACAACTACTACCACCACCCGCCATTATTAACTATCACCACCCACCACCACCATCCTCAATCATTATTGCCACCACTACCAATCACTACTAGCTACTAGCATGAACCACCATCATCAACCAAAACTACCACCAACCACGTCTCTAGTCGGCATTCACCCGTTAGCCACCATCACCAACAACTATCATATTTTAAAAATCTATATATTTTATTGATAGAATATTAGATTATTTAGTATTTCATTTGAGTTTTATGTTTATTAATTTTCAAATAAAGATAAATTTTATACATTCAGATGTTAAAAACCAAACAATCTTAATTATTTCTATTCAGATATTAATACACATCTTAATATGTTCAAATGTGTATTCAGATTCAGATGTCTTAAACTCAATACACATCTTAATATTCAGATGTGTATTCAGATTCAGACGTCTTAATCTTAAAAAAACAAATGAGGCCTTAATGCTTTTCTTTCATTTTCCTCAGATTCAGGGATTGTCTCAATAAGTTTATATGCTGAGTTTTTTTTATTTAGGATTAACATCACTTGCTGATTTCATCATTATAGTCCATAAAACTTTTAAAAATTCTGAAATTTGCTAGTGGTCAATTTTTTGTGTGTGTGTATTTAAAATCGATTTTTTTCTATACTGAATAGCAGTTTAAATATTAATAGTATATTAAAGTAATACAAACTGATCACTGGCCACTTAAAGTAATATTTTCTATTAAAAAAAGATTATTATTGGCCACCTAAAACTTTTCGAGTTCGTTATTAATTAAGCAAAAAAAACACTAATTTTCTCATATTACATGCATGTCAAAAATCTAAATTCTAGTTGATATGGAAGAGTAAATGAGCAATCTAGGGTTGGGGAATGGGATTATAGTTAATAGGTTTTTTAGTTTTATTTTTTGTAAATATTTAATAGTGAATTAATTTGTCAATTTTTGGCCTACGGACCTGCCCAAGCCCAGCCTCAGTCAAGCCTCAAGGGCCAGCGAGCTGACTTGGGCCGGGTTTATAAGCCTCTATTTTAAATGAACTCAAAAAATCCTAGCCCAACCCTACCCAAGTAACGGGCTGGGTTGGGCTGGCATCACAGGCCAAGCCTATTTTGACGGCTCTAAATACACAATTGAAATAAATTTAAGTGTATATTATATATTATTAATGTATTTATGTATTTTTTTTCTATTTTTTTTTCGCTAATGAGACTCGCACTTTGAAGAAACTGACCTTTTTTTCGCGTAAAAATTGCGTGAGATAGCCACTTTTTAAAGTGGTATTTACTTTTTATCCAGCAATTTTAATGTTGAGCAAAAGTAGCCACTAGTCTATTAAAAATAATATGAAAAGACGGTGTTACCCTTCTTCTATCTCTTTTCCTTCCCAAACTCTAGCTGATCTGTTCCGCCAAGAATATTTTCCAACACCACTTGTTCTTCTTTTTCAATGCTTCTTCTAATCCTCAAATCTTTTGGCAGTTAGCAGGTCGTTCAAGTATTGCCAACTATTTGACAAAATAAGTCTTGACATCCTTATGTGGAACAAAGAAGGACTTTTCAGGATTTTAGCAGGAAATTAGAACAGAAAACTTTAGAAAACAAACTTTTTGAGTTTTATTTATTTTTCTTTTTCTTTTAGTTGGTTAGGTTCTGTAGTCTTTTATTTTTTTAGTTGTTTCTTTTTGTTATTAGCCTTCTGTTGTGTAATTTGACATCAATCTTATATGTAAATTGCAATTATTATTATTTTTATTTTTTTTGTGAAAAGATACAAATAAAGTTTGGTTTTATGCTACGTTATGGATCCTAAACTTATAGTTACAAGTTCAAAAGCTAAGGACACTTGGTCCAGAACTTCGAGTTCCAAGTTCAAAAGTTAAGGACAGACAGTTCTTAACTTACAGTTACAAGTTCTAAAGTTAAGGACAGGCAATCCTTAACTTATAGTTACAAGTTCAAAAGTTAAGGACAAGCAGTCCTTAACTTACAATTACAAGTTCAAAAGTTAAGGACAATAGGTCCTTAACTTTGATTTCCAAGTTCAAAAGTTAAGGACAGACAGTCCTTAACTTACAGTTACACGTTCAAAAGTTAAGGACACGCAGCCCTTAACTTACAGTTACAAGTTCAAAAGTTAAGGACAATAGGTCCTTAACTTTGACTTACAAGTTCAAAAGTTAAGGACGCTTGGTCTTGAAGTTTGAGTTCCAAGTTCAAAAGTTAAGGACAGACAGTCCTTAACTTATAGTTACACGTTTAAAAGTTAAGGACAAGCAGTCCTTAACTTACAGGTTACAAGTTCAAAAGTTAAGGATAATAGGTCCTTAACTTTGACTTACAAGTTCAAAAGTTAAGGACATGTAGCCTTGAAGTCCTGAACTTAGAGTTCCAAGTTCAAAAGTTAAGGACATGTAGTCTTGAAGTCCTGAACTTAGAATTCCAAGTTCAAAAGTTAAGGACATGTAGTCCTGAAGTTCTGAAGTTAAGGACATGAGCAGAAGGGTATTTTCGTCCGGGCAGTTAAAGTTTATTAAAGCAGTGGCTAAAGATTAAAGACATTTTAAACGGTGGCTTAAAAGTAAATACATGTGTTTTTAGTGGCCAACCGTGCACCTCCCCTTTTTTCGCTAATGAGAAACTCAGACTTGCAACAAAAGATATTCCTAGGTTCAATGGACAAAAGCTGTCAAAAGTCAAAACCCCATTCTCTAAACCCCTAAAGAAGGTTATTTTTTCTCACTTCGTTTCCTCCTCCAATCTCTACAGCCCATTTTCCCTTCTTCTTACCGGCGACCCCTGTGGCCGGTGGCCTCCAGACTTGGTACACATATTCTCTCACTATCTTTGTTAATTTTCCCATTTAGCTGTTTGAGGGTATTTAGGACCAATTGTTGGGTCAATTTGTATATTGTTAACCTGTTTTTTCGAATATTGGATTCCAGAAACTTTAAAGTGCACTCCGAATGATTATAGCAACATTAAAAAGTGATTTTTTTTTAAGTTAGTCTTCTTTTGTTTCTGTTTATTTTGAGGTTTGTTGGTCAATTGCTGATAAAGTGAACAATTTTGGGTGATTTAATTGAAATTGTGGCCTTTTTTTGTTTTTTCCGTTCTCTTTATTTGTTTTTAGAAATTAAAAAAATGCTGTAATTAACTAGTTACTTAAATGCAAGAACACTAACAATCCTACTTAGCTCCTGTTTTTGCTTTTTTATATTACTGCCTCTGTCTCAATTTATATGCTCAGAATTGATGGCCATGAAGTTTGAGATGTTAATTAAAGTCATATATTGGGAGAAAATATTAAAAGGGAGATTATTAAAAAGTTAGTTTGATAGTAAGACATCACTTGAAAGTTTAAAATTTGAATAGTTTAATTATATTGAATTCTTGAAAGTATTGAAAGTTGTATAGAAATATAATGGTGTTAAATATTTTTGGATGTTCGAAAATAGAAGAGTGTCATATAAGTTGGGACGATGGAGTATTTTCTTGTTTGTTCTTAAAAATTCAATTTCATATGTTTCTTTGTATGATTTTCAGGTTCATATTAATGTGTTAGAAAGCTGAATACTTATTTTCCTTTTTGGTTGCATCATGATCGCTCTGGATTTTATAGATTAATTGCTATTGTTGTGTGTCATATACGTGTGATTCTTTTTGCAGGGATAGATTGGATAAAGATTCAATCTTTTTAAGCCGTTACAGACTGTTGTTAGTGTTGCAAATGCGGAAGCAGTCATGCATACGATACCCATCCGCTATCTTCTTATTACTCATTGTAGTTTCAGCATTTGTAGTTTATGCCCTCCCGATTCAGTGTGCTTCCAAGAAACCTTCCTTTGTCCCAAATTCGGAAGTTCATACCTAAAAAGTGGAGGAGTGTTACAGAATCAGACCCCCGAAACAGTGTCCAGTCCTTGCTGTGTAGTTCTCGTGAATCTGTTTCAGGGTCTTGTGAAGCAACTAATGAGTCTATGGTGGATTGCCTACTGACAACCTTGAAGGACTTTGCAAGCCAAGGCCACATATGCAAAGCCTTTAGAACTTTTTCACTTATTCGGACTCATGTCTCTTCTCAAACCCCTTGTGATCTTGTTATACAGTCCTTATCGTCTCTTTTGTTATGTTGTACTAACAGTAAGTCACTTCTCGAAGGGAAGCAGCTTCATGCCTGCATTATTAATTCGGGCATTGCACATAGTTGGAATTTGGTACCAAGGATACTCACCTTTTACACGACCTTCGATTTACTTGATAATGCTCATGCAATTGCTGAAACTTCTAATATTTTGCACCCTCTCCCTTGGAATCTCCTTATTTCTTCCTATGTTAGAAGGGGGCAAAATGAAAAGGCGTTATCTGCCTATAGACAGATGGTAAATAGAGGTATAAGACCCGATGAGTTCACTTATCCGTCTGTTCTGAAGGCCTGTGGTGAACAATTAAATCTTGCTTCTGGCCGGGATATTCACAAATCTATAGATGGTAGTTTTCTAGAGGGTAGCTTGTTTGTCCAGAATGCTTTAGTTTCCATGTACGCGAAATGTGGGGAAGTGGATGTTGCAAATGAAATATTTGAAAGGATGCCAGTTAAGGATGCAGTGTCATGGAATTCAATTATCTCTGGTTATGCTTCCAAAGGTATGTGGAGTAAAGCTTTTGAGCTTTTTGATAGAATGAGGGCTACTGGTGCTGAAATGGATATTATTACTTGGAACACCATAGCTGGAGGTTGCTTGAAGACAGGTAACTTTATTGGGGCTCTTAAATTGTTCTCTCAAATGAGAACTTGTGGAATTCAGCTAGAACCTGTGGCAACACTTATTGGTTTGGGTGCATGTTCTCATACTGGTTTGTTAAAAAATGGAAAAGAAATTCATGGTTTAGTGATGCGAAGTCACCTTGACGATTTCGATAATGTAAGAAATGCTTTAATCAATATGTATGCCAGATGCAAGGCGCTTAAGCAGGCGCATATTTTATTTCAGTTGGTTGACTCTAAAACTGTAATTACCTGGAATACGATCATATCTGGCTTTGCACATTGGGACAGGTCTGAGGAAACCTCCTTTCTTTTCCGAGAAATGCTGCTTTCTGGTGTTGAACCAAATTATATAACTATAGCAAGCATTCTCCCCCTTTGTGCTAGGGTGGCAAATTTACAACATGGTAAAGAATTTCACTGCTATCTTACAAGGCGGGAAGGGTTTGAGGAACATTTGCTGTTGTGGAATTCACTTGTGGATATGTATGCAAGATCCGGAAAGGTAGTAGTAGCCAGAAAGCTATTTAATTTGATGAGCAAGAAAGATGCAGTTACCTACACTTCGCTGATAGCTGGATATGGTATTCAAGGTGAAGGAAGAGAAGCAATTGAACTTTTTAATGAGATGACAAGGCACCATATAAAACCAGACCATGTGACCATGGTTGCTGCTTTGTCAGCATGTAGTCATTCAGGCCATGTGATGCAGGGTCAGAAGCTATTCGAACAGATGCAAAGTACTTATGATATAAGTCCTCGTTTGGAGCACTTTTCTTGCATGGTTGACCTCTTTGGTAGGGCTGGTCTACTTAAAAAAGCAGAGGAAATCATTATAAAGATGCCTTATGAACCAACACCTGAAATGTGGGCAACTCTCCTTGGAGCATGTAAGATTCATAGGAATACTGAGATAGGAGAATGGGCAGCTGAGAAACTGCTGGAGCTGAGGCCCGATAATCCTGGATATTATGTGTTGATTGCTAATATGTATGCGGATGCTGGACGTTGGAATAAACTGGCAAAAGTGAGAACCATCATGCGGGATTTTGGTGTAAGAAAGGCTCCAGGATGTGCTTGGGTTGATACGGGTTCTGGCTTTTCTCCCTTTTTGGTTTCAGATACCTCCAGTGGCCAAACAAATGAAATTTACTGTCTTTTGGGAGGACTGAATAGGCAAATGAAAGACACCGGTTATGTGACTACAGAGGATTCTTCTTCCGAAGAAGAACTTTGTGAAGGACTCCTTCTGTGAAAAGGAAGCGGGACTCAGATCCAGACCTTTGACTATTTCCATAAGAACTTTGCTCCTCTTTCCTGTTGCAAGGTATTTCTCATCACTCAAGCAGAATATGTGCCAGCTTGAACAACCGTTCTGTTTTTTTCGCCACAGCTGAGGTGACTCTTGCATTATATGCCCGGTCTTATGCATATCAACACTTTCTTTTAACCATGTCTAGAGATAAAGTTAGCAAGTACTTTGGCTTGTGTTTCTTGCATGCCGTAGTTGTCAACTACCACTTACGTGTCTGAAGCTCGTACGATTTTCTTGATCTTTTCGACCGCTGATGATTTTTTCTCTTTATAGGTTGCAGGTTTTGGAGAGTAGGGGAACGCTTGAAAGAATCTATATCAGTCTTCAAGGTAGAGGACATAGACTAATTAAACAAAATACTGATGATATTAGTTGTGCAAGTCTTTAGTTATTTTCTTATTCATTTGCTGGCTTATGATCAGAAATCAGTTGGAATGCCTGGGTTGCTTTCTCTACAGCATATGTTTCATTTCCACAAGATAAATCCCTTGGTGCAGACTCATTCTATTCCAAAAATTACTACCGTTCATTTTATTACTGATGCACTTCCTAAAGGTGTTTTCATCTTTGCCTTAATTACTCTCTTACTACATGATGTGCTTGACTGGAACTGTTAATATTTCAGAAATCATAGAGAATTAACAAGACATGGCTTGTGTTATTGTAGTTGAGACCCAAACTGAAAATAGTACATGGCTTCTGCTGTAAATCCGTTTCTTTTATTGATTTTTCCGAGTTTAGTCATCATATCTATAGCTATTAATTAGTTTGAACTTAGGCAAAACCTCGAAGGTTTTTTATGCAGTTTAAGCTACTTGTGCAAAACATTAGGTTGTTCATGAAGTTTAAGCAGCATTTATAGGTAATTTCTTTTGATGTATTCCATGAGGTATTTATGTCAAGGGCTGCTTCGAATATGAGGGTGTTTGGATTGGCTTATTTTAAGTGCTTATTGGCTTTTAAGCACTTTTTTATTTTGTGTGGTGTTTGGCAATGATAAAAAGTGCTTAAAAGCACTTACATTTAGGCGTGAAAAGTACAAAAATAAGCCAAAAGCCAAAAGTTGGGTATTACCAACTTAGGTCTTTTGGCTTTTAGCTTAAAAGCTACTTTTTATGAGCCAATCCAAACACCCTCTATATCTTGAAAGAAGGATTTTTTTGTTTTCTAGTATTCAGACTCCTTGAAGTTGGAGTGTTGTTAAGCCGGAATATATGGAGTCATGCCGATAAATCGAGAGCTTTTATTTGCACATAGAATCCTATTCTAATGCAGTTGATTATTAACTTTTGCATACTCCTTTTCAATTTGTGGTTAATCCAAGTTACCAGTATTATGTTACAAGCTTCAAATTGTTGTTTAGCATAACATCACATTCCTTTCATCCTTGTCCTTCAACATCTGGAAAAAAGTCATAGGCAAATGGTCATGGACTGATCTTCACGACATACTTGTGTCTAGAGCTAGCAAGAATTAGTACTCTCTTTTCTAGTCTATGTAGGAGGAAGCTCATACCCTCAAAGAAAGACACTATACGTATCATCTTTAACAGAATTTTGTATTTTTCATATAGAAAACATAGTTTTATATCAAATCAGAGAACTCTGAAGGTGGGCATGGCGCACACGTTTACACTTCTCTGGCCAGTTGCTTCGGTTCTCTAATTTGTTACTTAAACATACCACAATTAATCAGTGAGTTCACTTTTCGTCTTAAACTATGAATCAACTACTCTCTTTCTTAATACTAGTTGTATCTGGAATAGAATATTTCTTCTTTTCTTTATGGATGTAGTTGGATGCCTTGCTCTAAGGCAGTGAAACATCTCGTCTTGGTGATATAAGTATGCAAAAACTCTCATTTTCCTTAGTAGTTGTCTTTGTTTGTTTTTGTTTTTGTTTTTTTACAAGTATAACTGTTGTTGTTTATCATTTCTTTTTGATTAATCTGGCTAGGTGCAGGATGTGGTGATTAATCGCAAGAACCTGTGGTATCTTGAATTACAGACATTGTCACCAAATTGAGTGGAGCTACTTTGTTTTGTGGATACAGCACTGCTAAAACATCCGAGATTACGTGCCCGGTCTCTCTCTCTTGGTTTTTCAATCTTGAGGTAGTGCACGTAAATGGCAGTCTTACAACATAGCTCGCCATAGAGATCGTTTCTTACAGTTGATAAAACACAGAGATCATTATCTGCCTGGTATGCTGCAGAACTCTGCCTGTCCTCCGAGTCCATACCATTTTTGTTACTATTCTTGCATTAAAGCCTTCTTCAGAAATCAAACAATGATTTCCCTATGTTACAGCCAGGTTTACATGGTGTTCTAACAGAAGCAATTCAAAGGGGAAGGTAATACCTTTTTGCTGGTGTATTTTTTACCTTTTATTATGAAGGCAAGCAAGTGAGATGAAGTTAAGTTGTCACAGCTATAGAGTCGTATACCAAAATACAAGTCTTGCTGATTGTAAATTTTATTCTTGGATTCCTCACTTCCCAGAAAAATAGAAGTTATCGGAGGATAAGTCACTTTGTATTGAGGGGGAAATTGCCCCTTGTATTCTTAGGACTATTCCTGTTTTGATTTGAGTTGGTTTCACCTAAAAGGTCATACCAACTACTATCGTTCTGGTGATTTATAGACACAACCAAACATAAAACCAGCTTATCCATTCTCGGTTTTGTATTAGTTATTTTGGGTTTATCCGACCTGACCTGACCCTCCCGTTTGCCATTCCTAGTACTCACATGTAATATGAATTCAATCTATTAGAGCTACAGTTGCAAGAATTGAACAAATAAATGAACGAACATATGATCGATTTAAGCGTCTTGATGTAAGAAATAGAATGTACAGGAGCTCCCTGTTTTTGTATTGCATTTTCATCCTCTGGATGCCAATTAATGAAAGTTTAACTGTTGCCTGATCAAAAGAAAGTGTCTTTACGTGAGAAATTTTTACCGAGACATGATCATTATTTAAATTCCCATGTTTAACAAAAGGGAAGGAGGGAAAGTTTCTATTTTGTCCTGTACAGGATGAAAATTCAGACAAACCAACGATAAAGTGGAACATGACATGGTAAAGGATAAAGACATTAAGCAGTAGTCTCCATAATCCATTTCCTGCAAGTGAAAAAATCCAAATTCCAAAATGATGAAAACACTGTAAAGTGTTCTAAAATATACTATTAATGAGATTGTTGATTTTGCATAACTTTAAACCTAACGAAATATAATCGGCCTTTTTTAAATAATTACCTGTTCATCCATCTTTCAAAGCTCTCGACAGAATCCACTACAGATTCTTTTAATCTTCGTCTCGAATACATAGGATAGGTAAGGTTGTGTAATAAACAGTTGTATTTTGTTGTTTGATCAAATGACAGATTGAGTCACCAAAGGAAGCAAACTCTAGCAGATTATGAATCTGTCCATCAATTCCTCAGAATAGAGTTAATTGGAAGGGAACCTAAAATGTCTCTATCAAACATATAGGAAATTGGAGGTAAATAGACCAAACAAATACCTGATCCCCTAACATTCCAAACCGAAAATGGAGAATTTTTGCTAGCCACCAGACACAACGCAATGCAGGCAGGTAGATCACAAGGGGAAAATGGAGAAATTTTGCACCACTTCAAAGGCAGTCTGCATTATTAAAGCTCTCAAAACTATCCTCTTGGATACAAAATATAGTTATATCAAGCTAATTATGTTACAAATGTGTGTGAGAAAGCAACTCTAACAAAAAACAACCATCCTAGAACTCAGCCAACTTAGAATATTCTAGGCAACATATCTTGTATACTCGTGCCATAAGTTAACAATGGCTCCAAATAGAAAATTCTGTGATTGATACCAAATCCTTTGGGATACCAGTTCCAGCGACATCCTAGTGTTAGCACCATAACAGTTCAACGCTTGACCCATTGGAAGCTCTTTCTTGCTTTTGCTTTACCAGGCTTTTTCCTCTCCACAACTCTCGAGTCTCTCGTCAAGTAGCCACCTGCAAAGTCAAGGATAAACAGCTCCGATCATAAAAACCCAATTCACATAGGCTCGTGATGCAAAATAAGTGTGAACTCAATTACAACTAAGTGGCGTTACAACATATAACCAACCTTTACATCTTCCAAACTAAACATGATAATAAAGAAATAGTCATAGAGTTGACAAGACGAGAGCCCTACAAAAAATATCTAGGTGAAATACACCATGTAGCAAGTATTACCTTCTCTGAGAGGAGGCCGCAACTCTGGGTCCCAATTCTGCAATGCCCTGCTGATGCCTAGCTGAATCGCACCAACTTGACCTGATTTGAGCATATTCGTTATCCAAAACCACGTGTAGAACAATTTAAGACAACTAGCTGAGGGCTTAAAATTCACCAACTGAATGATAAAATAAAGAACACCACTTCACACACATGGAGAGAAGAAAAAAAGCTCCAGGCCGTACCTAACCCTGAAAATATATAGTACTCCAGTTCTTTTTGTTTTTTTTTCTTTTCCTTCCTCACCCCCCCACCCCCCTCCCTTTTTTTTTTTTTGGAATGACGGAGGAGAGCGTGGTAAAATCACAAAGGCATAGATAGGCTTAAACCCAATCACAGAAGGCAGAAGATCAGCTTGTGGTTCCTGCTAAACTTCTCTCTGAAATATGTTTGGTCATTTCACGACATGAGAGCAAGCGGCATAATCAGCATATCCAAAATTAGAAGTCTTTGTAATACTTACTACAATCAAGTCTTTCAACAGCTTGCCGGAGCACACACGATATCCCCACTTGTATAGAAGATTGAATGGAGTTTATAGAAACTAGAAAGGAAAACCTCCCTATGAAACTTTGATATTCCTATATACTAGGCATTTATTGACAATAAAATACTCAAAAAAGTTACTAGACTGCTTGATTACTAAGATCCATTAAAAATTTGCATCACAGGACACAGTTTAAGTTTAGAATGTAAAACTTGACTAGTGAAAACAAAGCTTATATAATCTCATATTGATAGACAGAATTCACCAGATACATATGCAGGTTTTCAATGCAAAAAACAAAGAGGTGCAGCAAATCCATAGTCAACAAACTATCTTTATAGTTATACTAGAAGTATAACACAATTTACATGAACTATGACCACCAATGAATGGTATCTGATAAGCAATTCACTTGGCAAAGAGAAAGATTAAAGAACAAAGCAACACCTTCACGATTTATCTTAAATAACTAAGCAAGGGCAGCCCAATGCACAAGGCATCCCGCGTTCACGCAGGGTCGAGGGAAGAGCCGCACCCTAAGGGGTGTGATGTAGACAACCTACCCTGACGCAAGCATTAGTGGTTTCTTCCAAGGCTCGAACCCGTAACCTATATCTAAAAGAACTCAGCAAAGGAAGAGCAAATTGAGAAGGATAAAGTCAAGGGACAGCTCTGCAGCAAAAAGAATTGAGGAAGTCAGGTCACTGACTAAGATCTGAATTGACTAAGCTCATCGAGCTAAGGATTGACACATTAATGCTCCATTGTTCGTCCCTCATTTTTTATAGAAATAGAAGAGCTATAATTACTTTGTATTAAATTTTTTCTCATCAGTATAAGCACTTTTTATAGTATCAAATAGCTTTATCTTTTCTTTTTTATGGAGATACCATACCAAAAAGCCTTATCAATATGGAGAAGATCACTTCCTCACGAATATATGAAGGTAAAATCCTATTCCAGTTCCCTCTATATTTCTAAATCTAACACCAAAACAAAAGAAAACAAAACAAAACCCTTCTCTTCCTTCTTCAATCTGGTCCACCTAATGGAGTCATACACTTTTTTAATGCAATCACATCTCCTAAAGCCTATTAAGAGAGCAAGTCTAAAAAATTAACCATCGTTGGAAAGAAGAGAAGAAAGAGAAAGAAATAATTGAGGTGCACACTAGCTGACTCAAACACCAAAAGGGTGCACCTAAAGTGCTAAGCTCTCGCTATATGCGGGGTCCAGGGAACAATAGGACCATATTGGATCTATTGTATGCAGCATTACATTGCATTTCTGCAAGAACCCTTTCCACTACTTGAACCCGCAACATCCTGGCCCAAACACCAGACACCACCGTTACGCAAAAAAAGAAAAAAGGAAAAGAAAGAGAAAGGAACAGAGACCAAGATTCTCTGTCCTGTCATTTTCTCTTCTTTTTTTTTTCTCTTTTTTTTTGAAATTTCTATTATTAATTATTTTCTCTTGTTTGGATTACAAAGGAGAAGTGGAAAACAAATATAGCACAGAAGAAAGTAACATTTCTTGAGCCCACGTATTCCATTGACAGAACGTGCCCATCTTTAGCCAACAAAAATTGGAGGATCAAATTATTTTACTTCTCTACTGTTACCACTCTACTTTCCCTTCCTTCCCTACAGCTTCCCTTCTTTCCTTCTTCCCAAACTAACGTTTGGCTTTCGACCAGGGACAAATTTTTTATGTGTTGTATAAGGTTTCATCTTCCAACCATCCTAGCAATAAATATAAGTAAAAACAACCAACCAACCTAACCAACAATTCACATTGTACCTTTCTCAACATTCCTGAACGAGGCAACTCAGGATATGTATCAGAGCAACTTTTAGAAAATAGGAGTAAGAAACGACATGCTAAAAAGAAAACGCCACATAATTTGTGCTATGGTCGAAGATATTTCCGTTCAGAGCGTCCTTTTTAAATCTCCTAAATTTTCCCTAAATAGTATACTGAAATCTATGCCAATAAAAAATATGGGCTCCAACTCCCACATAAAACAGGTGGTCTCAATGCAGTTGACGAAACTACGCAGTTGCCAAAACCTCCTACTTGTTCACATCTCCTTGTTTGATTGATGTTCTAAATGCACCCAGCAAGACATACAAGCAGCAAACTTCTTAAAGGAAATGAGTAAGATGTAATATTCTTACAGATAAATCGTCAGCTACTGTATTAGAACAGAGGAAAACAAATAAACTGTTGGTAAACGTACTGATGAGTGCAACTTATTAGAATGCATACTGCTGCTCACCTGACACACCGCCACCTTTTACAGTACATCTCACGTCCCACATGCCCAATGTCTTAGTTTCAGTAAAAGGCCGAAGGAGAACAGCCCGGTGATCAAGCATTGGGAAGTATACATCAAACTCTTTGTCATTCACCATAAATTTACCAGCACCTGGTTCAACCCAAACACGGGCTATACTACACTTCCTTCTTCCTGTCCCATAAGCCCTTCCCTTTTCATCTACTTGTTTGACTCGCGCCTTGGCTACTTCCTCCTGTTTTTGGCGCTCTATGTCAGCTCTGCTTGATTTCCTAGTATTCTTTTCATAACGCATATCTTCGATTTCTCTCAAAGGAGGAAGCCCTTTAATGTCATCCAGGTCTCTCAAAGCAATCAAACTGTCCAGCATTTCATCCGTGATTCCAGATGCCGCTATTAGATCACCAAATGCACGATTAGGACCTGGAACGAAAGGCACCTCGTTAAGAAAACTCCCAGAACGGGATTAAGGAATAATTGCAGGTAATAAGATAAAAGAAGTGCATTATCCAGTTGCATAACTATTGGTGTTCAACATGGTTTTTTATTGAGTTATAACATGCCTCAAGAAATATTAGATTTTCTAAACATTAAAACACACATGGAGTCAAAAGTTATCCAAACCAAAAGAAAATTGGATCAAACTCACTGGATTATGCGACTAAAACTCGCATTAGGACAGGAAATATAATCAAGGCAGTAATACATTAAGTGACATTTGGTTTGGGATAATGCTGTCAAGTTTTGAAAGTTAAAGATGTTTCCTGTTACCATGATTATTTAAGAATGTACCATAAGTCTCTGGTAAAACTTAAGGGATAACTCAATAAAAAAACATGTTGAACACCAATAGGTCTATAGCCTGCTTAGTTAACACTCTCGATCCTTGAAAATGCCAGACAGCAATTTGCACCAATGGACGACTAAGAGTGTTCTAGCTAATCTCCTAACTTATCTCAAATCCTATACTTCCAGAAAGCATGACAATTTAGCCTAGTCATATGCTACTCAATTAAAGATGCCACCTAATGCAAACAAATCAAAATAAACATAGTAAAACTTTACAACCAAACCATAAGAGTACCGCTGAACAAGTTTACGCCTTCTCAAGAAAAATGATTTGAAAGAAGCTAAATTGCCTTCAGAGAGCCTGATAATTTAGGCTAGCCATATGCTACACAAGAATGATATTAAACATAAGACCTTACAACCAAACCATAAGGCACAAATCTTTTACAATTTTTCAAGGAAAGAACAAATTGAAATAAGCTACTAAAAAAAAAAGAATCACCTTTAAGAACCTCAGTAAGAGCTTTCTCTTCCAATTCAAGAAGCTTTTTCTCCTCAGCATTCTCAAGTTTACCCTCCTCTTCAAAACCCATTATTTTAGTTTCTACTATAACCTCTTCTTCTCCGACATCAAACACTTTCTCTCCTTCACCTTCCACATCAAAACTCCAAGCTTTATTATACCCTTCAGCGGTTGCCCAAATCTCATCCTCCCTACCTCCACCAACACCCTTATTTTCTTTAAACACATCACCACTCTCTTCTTTTTCTTCTTGTTTAGCCCAAGACCCGTCATCAAGAACCTGCGTTTGTATACCCTCAACACTTTCTATGTCTTCATTGAACAGTGATTGATCAGATTCAGAAGAAAGTTTCCACAAATCAGAAGATGATGGCTCTGAATCTTCGCCATTGTTGTTGTTACCTGTGGAGAAGAAATGGGTGTTGCTGGGGAAGAAATATGGCTTGGGAATGGGAAAAGAGGATATAGGGGAAATGGGTTTAGGGTTTAAGAAGTGGGTTTTGGAAGGAAGCAGGGTTAAGAGTCGGAGGTGTGAGGATTTGGAGATGAAACGAGAGAGCATTGTGGAAACAGAAACAGAAGAAAAACGGAGAAGCTATTGCTATTGTAAAAGCCCTTGATTCATTATAGGCGTCTTTGTTTTGTTTTAAGAAAGCAGCCCTATTCTGCTGTTCAATATATTCTCACTCCTTTTTTTTTTTTTTTCCTTTTTTCTTTTTCTTATATTTTCATACGCTACATATTTCTAGTTTTAATGTAAATTCCAAATAATTATTACTCTAATTTTTCCTAAAATTTTGTGAAAGGAAAAAAATTAGTCGACTCCCCGAATCAATCAATGTAAAATGTGAGAAAGGCTGTATTTCTTCTTTACTGAATCGATTATATATTTAGAATATTTACGTCACTAAAGAAGCTAATGGCAGCTGCATAGTACAAGCCTAGCATGTAAAGTCTATTTGTAATTTTATCTAGCTCTCCTATATTATTATATATAAAACTTATTTACTCCTATTAAATATGTTGCCACTTAATTATATTTTGATATACAAATCCATCAATTATAAATAAATTAATGATAAATTGATAATTGAATATTCCTTAATTGGTATTAACCGATACACACGACTAAGTTATCCACCCTGCCTATATTGCTCATCTAACTCACTCACTTGCTTAAATAACTACTGAAGTTATTTAAGCAACTCGATCAGCTGTTTAAAGTTGCTTAAACAACCCAATTACTCGATCAGCTGTCAAAATCCGATCTCACGGTAATTAACGGGGTTAATCTCGTCTTGAGCTAATCCATAATTAATAAGTGGTATGGTCACTTATTCATAACAGGATTCGACTCTTGTCCGATTTAATCTACGAGGGCACGGCCCATTCACTCCCCCATGGGGACGGAACCTCAGCGTGGCCACGGCCATTTATTGCCAGCTCACGAAGCTCACATCTATAAATACTAAGAGTGGAAGCCCTATAAAGGCTGCTTCTTCACCACTATTCACAAAGGAGAGAGAGAAGAGAAAAATATGCCCATCTTATGGGAAGAGAAAACACCATTGTAAGGCTCTGAACCTCTTCATGGAGAGGCAGACCAAACAAATATTATCAATAAAAGCTGTTAAGATTTCTTCTCCTAACCTTGAGTACTTCTTTTCGTTTCCTTCATGTTGTCCAATGGATTATTACGATTTGCTATGATTTTCCCGTAACTTATTTGTATTGTTTTGCACTCATAAGATATGTGATAACTTTTGAGCAAACACAGATGATCATGATTTCCATTTTAATTTGCTCCTGACATAAGTAGGGCAGCATCTCTGATTGTTAATTATAATACCCAATGAACCAATCTATATATCCAGTGTCTTAGTGAATTTCACTCTGATTTCTACATTATTTGTTTGATATAAGTTGATCTTCTTTATCTTCTATTGAACCTTCTTCAATTTGGCATGTATTCTGCCCAAGTGTGTTCAGTCACTGGTATTTTTCACCAAGTTTTTGCCTCTGTCAAAAACTCCGAATGATCAGCTAAGTAGTTAAAGAATCTGAAGGGTTAAGGATCCTTTTCAAATATCTCTTGATTCTCTTCCACCTTCAAGCATAAATGGGAATAATTTAAATTAAAAAAAAAAAAAGGATCCAAATATGGGAACTTCATCATCCATTCTGCCCTATCTATCTTGTGTTATATATATACTATATAATTAGTCCATGTATACAATCTTTCTATATCCTTAATCTCAGTCATGCCCGTGTTAGACAATGCCCCCTAAAATCTTTAAGTCTCTAACTTCAGTTTCCTGCACTAGATTTTTATTAATTCTGTCCTCCATACATAGTATGCTTGTTAAGCAAATTTGAACTCCACACATACACTCCCATAGATAAACTAAGAATGAGTGACTCTTGGCCTAAAATTTATTATATTTGGATCCCATATTATCCAAATTCTTCCTCTTCCATTACTATCATAGTTCCTGCACCACCTCCATCTCGGAGCAACGTTACTAATCTGACAAGCACTTTTTCATTCACTATATGCTCTACTACTGCAAGTAAAACAACTTTATTTTTCCTAATAAAATCCGTCAATCCCTTCTGCTTATAGAGCTTATTTAAGCCCCTTAAATTCCAACTTATCACATTCATCAGGATACGGTAGAATTAGGAGGATCTTTAGTACCCTTACTACATTAACCCTATTCATGCTCAGTGTTATACTGGGTTAGAGTCCCACGTTGGTTGGGGAATGGACGCAATCCTCCCCTCATTAGCTAGCTTTTGGGATTGAGTTAGGCCCAAGTGTCATATCTTTACATGGTATTAGAGCCAGATCCGCTCCCGTTTGGATCCCTATGATATATTGTCCACGCTCTAGTTGTGGGCGTGGAAGGGGGTGCGAGAATGGGTTAGAGTCCCACATTGGTTGGGGAATGGACTGGTGATCTCTTATATGGACTTGGGCAATGATCCCCTCATAAGCTAACTTTTGGGGTTGAGTTAGGTACAAGTGCCATATTTTTGCACTCAAGAAACCTAAATTTTTGTGCCTCACCGTCACCAACCCATGGATTAAATCCATTTGTAGTGTTTATCTTCTTCGTTGCATTGTTCTTCCCCATACATAGTCTCTACTGCAGAATTTTCTTTCACAATTTTTAATTCATCTCTCTTAGCTATTGTGTTGTATCCCCTGTAGTTGTGATAGACTGTGTTGTGCTTGAACCTAGCCTTGTGCTAGTTGTCCAACATTTAGTGTTTTCTGAGTAGGGCCCCTAGCCTAACCATCCTTTTCAGTTGCTGGGTAAACCTTTGGGCCTTATGTCTGTATTGGTCAAAATCTGACCGCTGCGGTCGACCTAACTGGGATCCCGCCTAAGCGGCGGGATCGTGAGAGACGTCACGACCTGTTCCAAACCAAGTATCTACGGTACATATTAAGTTGAAGAGCAATACTCAGGTAACGACGAAAACGGTCGTGGTATGAAGGCGTATCGACCCAAGAATGTAGCAAGGACTCCAGGACTATCTATAAAAGGGAGAATCATCCAATCAAAAAGGGGGCGAGAGCTTTTTAGACACACTCTCTCTCTCTCCTCTCTTCTAAAACTTTCTTAGAGCAAAGGAAAGGATGCAAGTTAATCATCCTCACTACACCATGTAAATTGTTCATCCCCATTGTATCAAAAGGGAGGAAATAAAAAATATCAAGAAGATTGATCGCCCTTATTTTATCTTACTGATAGCTCTCTGATTCATTTTTAGATCTGGAATTTATTATGTTTGACTAAGATTTACCTCTTCATCTTCATTGATTGATTTAATAAAAAAGGTTTCGATATCTTTTGGTCAAACAAAGTCCTCATTCCATATTGTTTTATTTGCTTTAGTTCAGTAATGTTTTTGACAGGAATGTCACATCTGCAAACACACATTGCAATGCATAGGCCTCCATTCATATTCAACTGCAATTCTCTTTTTCAGTGGCGGACCTAGAATATTATAGGAGTGGCTTGAGTCACAATATTATAAGAATGACACTCAGCACACCAAGTGGGATTTCTTTCTCGTTTTTTAGGTTTATTACGCTATTATAAAATGAACAATTTTAAAAGTTAGGTCCGCTCCTTCTGCTTTCCAAATAGTTGGGCAAGAAATTTAAAGTATTAAAAATGTTTACCTAAAAATGCTAATAACTTATCTCTTTAATTTAACAAATTTTCTTCCAACAAATATAAATATTTTTTGAACTTTAATAAAAAATCTATTTAACCAATGTAGAAATTTGTTAAACTATAAGAAATTTAACAAAACTAAAATCTTGTTCTTATTTATAAATTAACAAAATCTGTTATTTGTGAGAAAAGAGCTTCAAAGAAAGTTAAGTATTCCAATGTTACAAACAAACAATTTAGAATAGACTAACTTAAGATTAAACTACGAAATTGTAAATATTTTCAATGATTACACTTGCATACGTTAGCAAGAGATTGTGTTTGATTCATTTTTTATTTATTGAAGTAATCTTTATTAAATTGCGTAAAGATGAATATAAAGAAAAATAGAAAATAAAAAGTAGAATGGAGATTAAAGAAAAAAGTTAGACAGAGTGATGAAAATAATGGAACTAGCATAAGAAATTCTCACTAGTCCTGTGGTACAATTATTTGCATATAGCGGTAATCCTAGTTTATTGCTGATTCTGCTTTGTAATTCTGTGCCCCAACAATTAGAGGATCTTCACAAACTTAATCCATAGAGGAATAGTTAATGATTTTTTGTTTAAATGGTGTATTTCCTCTTTTCCATACCAAATTTATAATTAAAAATTTTTGGTTGAAACTTTATCATTTTTGACAAATAGAAAAACTTTTAACCAAAATTTATGGAGTTCAAATGGAGTATTTTCTTTCTTTAGATACATTGGCTATTTTTTCTAATTGCACATTTCTTCTTTTTTCGGGTCAAATTTATTTAAAAACTTAGTTGGAATTTTATTTAGCCAAATAAGAATTCTTTTAGCTAAAATATTGAAAATTTAACTATGTCTCTATTTTTATTTACTCTTTAGATACAATAATTAGGAAACCTAAGTAGGGGAGCTGGGATGTAATGCTATGCCATTCTGGTGTTGTCCAGGTTGCCTTTTCTTTTGTTTTGTTTTTTTTTCAAAATTAAGCTATGATTTCTCAAGTCTGGTAACAAAAAAAATTAATTTACCAGAAAAAATAATTATTTGTTCCAAAAAGGCCTGACTCATCTTTTTTCGGGTAAATTTTTTAAAATAATATGTTTAAATTCCTATTAGTCGAATAAAAAAGTTTTAGCAAATAGAGTTCCAACGTGCATTTCTTTTTAGGGGAAATTACCCTCCTTGTCACTTGGCCCAACAGTCCATCAAAAAATGGCCCACATTTGAAGCCCTTACCTGATATAGCCCAGGTTGTATATAATCTGAATTTTTTTTTCATCAGTTAGCCCACCCTATTTTTTTCTTTTCTTCGTTCTTCTTCTTCTTCCTCTTTCACGACTTTGCACCCCAAAGTTTCTCTACCATTATATATATTCTTCAATTCTCCTTCCATATTCAAAGTTGATAATCACTATTAAGATGAGAAGAAAAAATACCATTTAAGA